TTCAAAACGATTTCCAACATCATCATAGAGATAATAATTAATAAGTTTAACACCTGATGTTGATTCACGATTGAAAAATATATATTGTTCTTTTGATGTTGAACGTCCAACACGTTCGCTTAATGCCATGGTATATGGATATGATATTGATCTATTATTTAAAGCTGTATATAAAACATATGGAGCTTGTATTGTAACATCTGTAATTTCTTGAATAACAGCCACATCGAAATCATTAAGAATATCAGCTATAAGACCTGTCAATGTAGCATTTGCTGCTTTTGTAGGTCCATATTGATGTAAATTAAATGAACCAATTCGAACAGTTGAAACATATGTGAGAAATACACACATTAAGAAGACGATAGTTGAAATGATTTTCATCCTTGTAATTATTACTAATATGAATAGTGTCTTTTAAATGATAAGTATTTGATACAATTTATATGTTTTTTACCGTTCAGAATGATTGGATATTTGATGAAACTAGGTAAGCTTGCAGAAAAGAAAAAATGGGTCTGTTTTCTCAATAAATTACTCTCTTGAATTACTTACAGTACAAATGCTCGATCAAGCGATAAATTTTTTTTTGTTGTTATTCGTATAGAGTTGAAAAACATCGAACAGAAAATGTCATGAAAAAACCATCATAAAGTCCAAATCGGAAAAAAGTGACAGATCAAAAATAAAGAATATCAAAAAGACAATGACGAATATGTAAAATATCAAAATGTATTACTGTCAAAAAAGAAATCATTGAAAATCAAAATATCAAAAATGTTCGATACTTAATGAGAGTGTTGGAAATTTGTAAATATTACTTTATCTATCAGTTTACTGTGCCAAATGGAAGAAAATGTAAACTTTCCTATTGTTGTTAAATGTAAGAATAATAAAAGGATGTTGGTGTGAATGCGTGAAGAGATAAATGGCAGCCACTTCTACAGCTGCACTCACACTCAAGCTAAGATCTACGCCCGATCTATCCACACCGGCACATCTTTTCTCTAGTGAAGATTAGAAATTTTTCGACATTTTGTACTTTCGATATTTTTCTTTTTGAATTTATGAGTTTCTATTTTGTCTTTTCGACGTTTGTCCTTTGACTTTATTGCAGTTTGCCATTGTTTTTTTTTTTCGATGTTTTTTCTATTTGGTACTTTACCCCATCAACGTGTTGCTTTTCGATATTTTGCGCTGTAACTATTATTTGAATACACATATATATTATTCTTTTGACCTTCATTAAAATACTCGTTGAAGAAAAAGTACACAACTGATTTTTTTTTATCTTCGTTAAGATCAAATTGCAATACCAACTTTATTTTTACTCATGTAAAAAAACGACTCAAAATTAGATTATAATGGATTATTTTCGGATTAATAATCTATTATAATCAGATTATAATAGTGTCAGTATAATAGAATATAATCTGATTTTTTGGGCGTCTTTTTTTTACATGGGTATGTTTTATATGGTCTTATTTTATTGCATCAAAGTAAAAAAAAAAACTTTTGTAAGGACAAAAAGCTTTTAGATCAATGCATACAGGCATGCATAATATTAGTCAACTGACATTCCGCAAATCGATTATATTCAATATGATTTTCACTATAAAATTCGTAATAAAATGTTAAGATAAATGATTCCACAGAATTTTATCGTTGGATATAAAATATAAGTCAGAAAGAGAAAGTAGATTGATCTAACTATGTTATTATAGAAGAGGAAAAATAAGAAAAAATCTTTTTCCAACAATTAATACTTCATTTAATTCACGCAATAGACATGAGCATTAGATTTAGAACTAGTACCAATATACCCTCAGATCGGCTGATTAGTCAATTGACCCATCAAACTTTCCGTTCTCTTCTATATTGGAAAAGATCCAACTAGGATTGCACTAATTCCTCATTTTTCCCATTATAAATCGTATATTTGAATTACTTGCAGCAGCTTATTCTACCTAAATCGTTGTATGATATTTAACCAGTTTTGCTAGTTCTATCTGATGTTACTGTCATGCTTCATGAAAAATGATAGAAAAATTAAAAGATTGGTCAGCATTAATTGAAAATTTCAATTTTTCTACCCTCCCCAACTAATTCTACCATTTTGTAATCATTTTTCGTCAAGTATGGCGAGTACATCAGATAAAGCGACTAAAACTCGCTATGCTTCACTTGGAGATTTGACTAGAATTGACAGCTCTAATTACCGAAAATATACAATCTTTGGTATACATAATCAGGCATGTATTCCTACATCCAATATTCTTCGTTATATAAATATTATGATGTTGTTGTCAGTTAAGACGATTCTTACAGATTATAGACCCACTATATTATTATTTCGCTTCTTGCAATCATTGAAAATTCACATAAGAAACTCTCTCAAATTGATATGTTCATTATGCATGTTAAATTCGACTAATTATTAAACTAACTAAAAAGATCTTTTAGTTGGAAATTCTTATATACATTTCCGTAGATATTTTGTTTATTGTATCTCATCTTCGTTTCACATACATAAAAATAGAAAAAAAGAAAACTGAACTCTTATTGTTTGCTGTAAAGAAGACAATCCTCACATACATACATTGTAGAATGAAAAAATAGATGTAAAACAAACAAACAAACAAACAGGGAACAGAAGATATGTGTAAGATTTATAGAAGCGGTATAAGAAAAAGAATAGTTTCAACAATTGAAAAAAAAAACAAAAAAGAAAAAACAAGAATTATGCATACATAACAGACAGTACATACTCACACACAAACATATGATCATTCGCCAACAAAAAAAGTAAATCAATTGTAATATCAAAGAGAACAAAAAAAACAACATTTTTTATTTTAAACGAAATTATCTGGTGGAAGAAAAAAAAAAGAAACCAAAGAGTTTATGATATATGTATATAAACAATAATGGCACGTTATTTGAGATTGAACAAGGAGAAATGATGATGATTATTATTATTTTGCTTTAGAAAAAGCCAAGTGGCTTTTTAATATTTGTTTGTTTCCAATATGGTAAAGCATAAAATTCATCTTTAGTCATATGAAGTTCTTTCTAAAAAATATATTGAAAAAAATGCAAATCATGCTTAAAATAAAACGGAATATAATCATACTTGAAAATCATCATCCGAGAGATAAAATTCAATTTTTGATGGATCAACACCTATAATAACGAAAGTTTGTTTTAAAAACACAAAAGAAGAAATTTTGAAATTCAAACCTTCTGGTAATGGACGAGCTCGAAGTTCTTCAATAGTATACTGTTCACGACATAAATTTGTAAGTATATCAGAAACTGAATCTTTTTGATCTAGTTTTTTTCCTTCCTAAAACCAAAAAAAAAACAGATTTCATATATACATTGAAAATATAGACATGAAATAAAAGAAACGAACCAATTGATTTTGTTGTCGAGCTTTCATATGAATTGTCCATTTCGGAAATAAATTAATAAAATCAATAGGTTCTAAACCAGCATATACTATTGAAGAGGGTAAATCAATGGTTGCTGAACCGGTTTTTGCTAAAAGGAAAAAGAAAAGACAAATTTTTCATTCGGATAAAATTTGAAAAACAAACAAGAATTTTACTTTTACAGTATTCAACAGCTGTACGAAAAGCACAACGACGTTCAGCTGCAAACCGTAAATCTCTTGGACTACCAGCTTGTAAATTTGCACTATAAAGTTGTAAATCAAGTTCATCATCGGATAAATCATTCCATCCTTGCCATATATATAATTCTGTATTGGTATCAATTAAACACAAGGCTGGTTGTTGAAGTTCATATAGATCTACTTGAGTAAATGGAAATGCTGATATATGATCAGATGATCGAAGAGGATAAACAAGTTCTTGAGCAACAAAAGGACCATGAAGACTTGATAAATGAAATATACGCATAGTTGCAGTTAATTTTTTATTTGATTGAACTATTAAAAACAAGCGAAACAAATAGAATAAGCAATATACAAAATGGTCACAAACATAGTACTACGATAAAAAAAATTGAAATGTCTCCGCATCCGTTCAATCAAATGAACTGACAAGGGAAGTCCTCCAACTCATGAACTGTTTCTGAGTGGAGAGTATGTGCATTATATAGACCCGAATTAATTATGAATACCCTGAAAACAGTTCGTGTTTAGAGGCCTGCAGGGTACGTATTTTTCACAACCTGTAACCTGCCCTGCAGAAAATTTCTTGGATGTTGAAATGAAAGATTCTTTCCTGAGAAGTTCTGTTGTCCTGTAATCAGTACCAAAGAAGATTGACTACGTAGAAGAGCATAAGATACTATTAAACTGCTGGATGAAGATCCTATATGAAGTGAACAGATGTTTATTTAGGGTACAAAAATCTAACAAAAACGATATTTACTCTGGAAAAACCTGTGGTCTTAGCTCGTTTTCTTTTCCAGGCCGTAGATGTTTTGGTAGAACTTCTATTACATAGAAAATCCTCCTATTCTTGCTGCATGCTTATGGTCAATGCAAATGTAAATCAAAGTAATATACAGGGTCTCTTCAATACGGACTTATCAATATTGGAAACACCGAAGAGTAGTCCACGAAATGCTCAACTTGAGAAAAGTGCAGTATTTGAGTAAAAAAAGAGGAGAGAAATTTAGAGTACATGCTAATGATGTGTGCTGGAATGAAATATCTGAAAGAGAAATAAAACATCACTGTCGCTCATCATAGAGAAATATGTAAATGATTTCATCTAGCTCAAAATCATTACTATGAGTCGTTAGAATTTTTTAAGCATTGTAGCGGCGGCATTTCTATTACAAGTTGGCAGGTTATGACCCCAGTAACCTTACCCTGCAGGGCTCTATTTGTGTCCTTAGCTTATTATTGCGGAGACACTACACTTTTACGATATTTTGTAAATGAATGTGGTGGTCCTCCTCAACAACACCAGAAAAAATGATTTTCGAATTTCTTCGACTTAGCAATTCGCATAGAGACAGAGATAATTAAGTCTGCCTCTGTGGTAGTACGATACTCATTTTATAGCTGATTAGGATCTACATAATGCCCTTAGTCTCGACTCAAAAGCGATATATCGGTTGGAAAACTATTCTCGTAAGTTTTTCTTTAGTAGTAGAAGTTAATTTCAGGTTTTTTTCATCCGAATAAAGTGAGCAAATACTACTGTTAGATGTTATTTTGAAAGTGATTGGACCAGTTTTCCAAGGAAGAAATATTTATATATAACATTTCATAGGTAATTTTGACTTGTTATCTAAGGGAATAATAATAAGAAATCCAAACGAACTTTATGAATGTTACTATATTGATAAGTTAACTATTAAGAGATTTCGAATTATTAAACCTGAAATACAAGTTTTCGCTAGAAACTTAGTACTTTCAGTATCCAAAGGGTTGGCATTGTGCATTTTACTCATGGAGCACAAATTTTAGTCTTTAAACTTACTAGTTTGGAAGATTTTCTCTGTAAGTATGATTCATTATATTCGCTTTGACTGCTTCATCTTTTATTCTCTTTCATGACAACTGAAAATTATTTATGAAACACTTCATATTTATTTTTCTTAAATAAAAATTGTAATTTGACACTATTTTTTGTTCACAATATCGTTATTTCAATTTTAAGTAATACTTCTATTTATTATCCACCCTATATATATTCAGAAGTTTTTCAAACTAATGAAAAACCTAAACACAGAAATATTCGACTTCATATGTTATATCAAAATTGATAAATAAAATCTTGTATATTTTTTTCTATTTGAAAACTAATCAACTTTATGTAAACTCATTGAAATATTACCATTTAATAAAGAATAATATTTTCTTTCATGTGTTGATTCATTGATTGCATTCCAAAATAAATCTATTTCATCACCTTCTTGTATTTCATAAAATTCAATATCTTGACGTTCACCATTAAAATGAAATTCTTCTGGACATCTAAAATAGATTATTAAAACATTTAAGAAAAAAAATAAATAAATAAATAAATCTTTATTAATAATATAAAACAAACCTTTCACGTAATTTTATAGCCGATTTATTTGCTAATAATCGTTGTTCATTTGTTGTTCCACAACCATGCCAAAGCAACATAATATTCTTAACATTATTAATTAATAAAAATGATGTTCGACTACGTAAATTTGCACTATCCACATTTAGTTCCCACCAATGATTTTCGACATCAATTTCACCAAGAAATACATAAAGACGCCAATGTGATTTTTTTTCTTTTACTTGATTACGTTTACCCATATGTATTGTAAATGTACCATCAAATAATTGTAAAAATGTTGCTTCTTCACGTTCTTGAATAACATGAACCTATAAATAAGTATTCAAAAAATCAGTTCAGTATATAGTCTATCTTATAAATCAAGAATTAGATTCTTACATGTGGTCCTTTTTCTTCATCCAAAAAAACTGTCATTAATGCTGAAATCCCTTTTTCATTAGGACTAGCATTAATACCTTGCCATATCCAATAAGCAACACGATCACGACCTGTATCTGTTTTTCGTACAGATGCTTTACCTGTTGTTATTGAATGAAAACCTATTTTAAGAAAATAGAATATTTTAAAAACTTAATAATATTTTTTTTTTGTCTTTTATTTATTACCTGATGCAACTAATTTATATCGCCATCGAATAATATAAACATCATCTGAATGAAATTGTCCATAACTTGAGTTTGATAATTCATAACGTTCATTATCACTAACATGCCAAACATTTAATGATATTGTTTGAATATCATGACCACGTAATTCAACTGGATCATACCTTTACAAAATTACAATTATTTTCTTTTGGAAATAATATTAAACGCAAGATATAATAATACAAACCAATGTTTTCCTCGACCTAAATTTGCTTGTTCAAGTATCATATTTACTGGATTATCTTGTTTCATAAGCATTTTATTTACATCCGCTGGTTTAAGCATTTCAACAATTGACGGTGGCTAAATAAAAATTCAATAATATAAAAAGAATTTTGTTTTTTTTATCAAAATAAGAAAACATACTCGTCTTGCTGAGGGTATTCGATTAACACTATTAGCAGCATCATTAACCGGTTTAAGTTCTTTAAGATCACCAGGCCAATCATAAAATTTACCTTTAAATAATAATGTTTCAACATTTTGATTTTGTTTTCCAAATATACACCATGCTGGTCGTTTAGTACCTTTTTGACTTGCAAATTCATTTTTATCTAAATAATATAACATAATGTCAATTTTTCGTGATATAATTTACAGGTGACTTCATTCGTTAGCGGCATTATTTTACAAAAGTAAAAATGCATATATATATATCTGAACTTGGAAATTTCCTTTAGTTTATTTTTATATAACAAATGTATGCTGAGTTATTCTAGATATCCGGAAAAAAAAAACTCACTGCTATAAACTTTTGTTACGTTGAAGACAAGATATATTACTTGGGTGCAGTCTTTATTTTTTTTTTTACAAAGAGTACAAGTTCAAATAATATTTTTGAAAATTAAGCAGTGCGTTTTGGAGAGAACACTTCAGGCTATAAAATATTTACGCAAAGTTTTTCTTGAACACGCTTAGATGTTTCAAAAAATTGAGTTTATTTATTGTTAGTGACATGAGTAAGTACGAATGTGGAAATGCAAAATCCGCTTAAAATTGAATGATAAACTCAAAGAACAATTCTAAATAGTACAAATCCTTATTAGAGATTTTCAGATGATAGTAAAACAAAGACATGTCCATGAAAAATTTAGATAGATATTCGCTAATTACATTTTTAATTAATTAGCTATGAAGTGAGAGTCTGTTTTAGTTAAAGAACTTATTTTAAAAAAAAAATTAACTCTTATAAAGATTTAAAGTTAAATTGAAGATGATCATATCTTGTTTTCCTCTAATTTTGCTCATAATATGAATTTCTTACCATCAAGTGGATCAAATGGATTAATTAGACATTCCGAAAAATCAAAAGCATCATTCCATAATTGTTGTGCTAATTGTAAACCCATATTACGTTTAATTTTATCAGCATATTTACCATTCCAAACATATACTTCTGAACCAAAATCAAAAACAAATATATCATTTGCATCAAGAATTTTAACTGATAATGAACGAAAACAAAAATCATCTAATGGTATAAGCATATCATTATCTAAACGATAAACACGATTTAATTCCATTATATTAGCTTCATAAAAATCATCATCTAGAACATTATCCATTATTTTATAATCATCATGATGACCATGTAAAATATCAGCAAATTCTGCATGTATATCATTTTCTGTATCATCATTTGCTTGATCTAATATAAAATATTTAACTTCGCTACGTAAACCAAAATCACGATGTTGCTTTAAATAATCCATAATATCCATTGTTTTAGCTTTTTCTAATGCATTTGAATATCGACCAAGCCAAGCAAATACTTTTGATGGTGTTATTAATAAATAACAATCACCTTCATTAATTGATACATATGTTGGATTAACAAGACGTAATGAACAATGACGACGTCCTTTTATAAGCATTAACATTAGTTCTTTATATGGTTCAAAACCAAATGTTGCTACGGATGAACGATCGATTTTACGTAGATTAATTTCAGCAAAATTTTCTGTTGCTGCTAAAGCAGCTAAGGCTTCTTGAGCAAGGCCAGCATTTTCAGCAACTGAAAAAGAATTAAAAAGAAAAAAATATTTAATTTCCGAGTGGATAGAATCTATGAAAAAAACTTAGTAATTTTATACATCAAGAAAGTTAACTGTTTACTATTAAAATATTTCCGGACTATTTTGTGTTACTAAAGAATAAGAACAAAACATGACTTATTAACGTAAGTAAACAATTTGAGTAAATAACTTGTTCAAAGATTTACAAAAATTAAGTATTCTATTAAACTCTAATCTACATATAACAAACATTTGGTATTCTTCTAAGTTGTTTTTCTTTGTAACTTAAGCCTTAATAGTAGAATCTATCTAAAGATAATAATTGCTAGACATATGATATCATTAGGGATACACATTTGCACGTTGAATATGAGTATTAATTCTCATCGACGAAATTTTAATGTTGAAACGAAGTGCAGGTAACATTTTTTTTCTCAGATTGAAAATGACTTTTTTTTTTTTTCTTAGAAGGATTTTCCACCAAAAAAAACAATCAATGTCTTTAAAAATATTCTCGTAGACATGCTTAATATTGAATTATTCATGATTATCATAAATAGAACTCGTCGGGTTCGTCCCGGATCCGACTCAGCGGGCAACAGACTAAATGCAACAGCCAATTACGACTGCTGATTATTACAAGGTCATCGTCAAGATTGTCTAAGAAACGTGTAGTGTGTGTTCCTAGTAGAATTCGGAGCGACGATTAGATTTAGACTAGAAAATTTCAATGAAATTAGTAGTACGGTGTGAGTCCGAAAACGTTGCATCTATCGAATCTAAATCAAAAACTATTGAATCTGATGGTCTGTAATCATAAAAAAATGCTCACACTAATTGAACTATCTTAAAGATAGTATTTCATGTCAACTTAATTATTTATTAATGAATTGATAGAAGTGATCTTTTAAAAATTATTCACACAAATTAAACAAATAAGAATATAAGAAGACATTGAAGTATACTAAATCGTGTAACAAATATTTATTTTCTTATTGAAAAATCAATATATACAAGTTGATTTCATTAAATAATGTATACAAAATGATTTTGATTATAATAAATGAAATTATTTTCGTTTTATTTCTTACTTTGAGCTCGTTTTAATCGACGAAGTTCTTGTTCGGACAGATCTGTATGTACTTCTGTGTATTCATTAGCTGTTGGTATTGTTGCTTGAATTTGACGAAGAGGATTTTTCGTACCTTGTTGTTGACGACGAGGTGGTCGAACACGAGCTGGTTGTGATTGTAATCTAATTGAATTTTAAAAATTTAATAATTTCTTTTTTTCTCTTTTTTTGATTTTACCTGACAGCATTTTCAGCAATACGATTAAGATCATCAGTATTTAATTGAACTGATGGTTGATTATTTGAATTCTTATTTGTATCAGCAAAAAAATCATCAAGATGATCATCTGGTTTTAATACAGATATTCGATCTGATTTTACGACCGAAATAACATTATTATTATTGATTGGTTTTTTTGGTGCTATAAAAAATTGTTGCATTTGAATATTTAAATCAAAATATTGCTTTTCTTTTTTATATTCTTACTTATTTCATTGCTTTTTTTATTCGATGGAGATGTTTGAATCGTGTCCTTGTTTTTAACGATCGATTCTAAATATATATATATATATAAAGAAGTCGAGGTGAACATCTGTGTGTATTTATCATGCATTTTCAAGGATAAAAAAGAAAATCCTCAATAGAATAAATGATGTACTTGTCTTTTCGTCGTGCTGTTCAATAGAAACATCCTTGTCCACACATTGTCCCATAATACTCAAACTGTTCTTTTTTGCCTAGTAGTCGTTGTTATTTGTTATACAATGATAATAATAATAATAATAATAATAGTGATAATAATAAAGAATGTGGTTTGTCACATCTTCAAAAAAATGTAATCCACCTCTGAGTTTTTTTTTTGTCAACAATAATGACTTATAAATGTCTATAGTCAAATACAATCAATAGTGATTTTATGTCATCTTATCGTCTTTATCCGTAGATAGTTTATGAGAAAGAAATAATATGTACATTCGTAGTTAAACAGAAAGAATGTTGAGAGAGGAAAAAATAAAGGCTAAAACTGTAGATGTATATGTGTATGTGTGTGTATGCGTGCTTGGAAGAAGGGAAGAAGAAGAGTATGTTGTTGTCGACGAATAGAGCAAAAATGAGGATGAGAATGATGATGAGTAGTCGAGCAAGTATGCTTGTATAGAGTTCGATAGAAGAAGAAGAAGAAAAGAAGAAAAAAGAGAGTGAAAAAGAGAATAACTTCTTTCTTTTTTTGTTCCTATGTTATTGTTTATGCTGTATAATTTAGTTATGCAAGAAACAACGCATTCATTTCTCATGAGATATAGACAGCAGACGTTCAGTTATCGGAAAACAAGATTTACTATACTATCTGTATCTTCTGGCAATAGGAAATGAATAAGTAGAAATGATCATAAGATGTTTCTTACTGACGCAACACCTCATTCAAAGTCAGGAAGCACACGCCAATCGATCAACGCGTCAATGCACAAATGCGGCTCAATTTAACTCATTGAGCGACACATATATATATATACATTTATATATAGAGTTAGATAAGTAGATGAGTGTGAAAATAGTAAATGAATTACTGTGGACGAGCGGACAACTTTCACATATATGTATTGAACGACAACGGACATTAGTGGTACCATTGCACTACTAATGATGATGCAACACTTTAAGTATGGCACAAGTCACGCACAAAATGAGAGAGACAAAGAGCAAAAAAAGAAAGAAAAGAGGTCAACACATTTTGTTCCTCCTAATAATAGAAAGCTATATATTATAAACGTAAGAAAGCAAATGAATAGGTTGATGTCAAATGATCGATAGTTATTTATTACTAACCAGTTTTCAGACGGATAATATCTACAGTTTTAGCACGTTGTTCTTGATCAATATTGTTTTTTTTTGCATTATATTTTAATGTTGGAGTTTTACGTGTACTCTTTGGCAATGGTTTTAGTTCATCCGTAAGTGTAGGAATTTTTCCTAGACAAAATTTAAAATAAAAAAAAAAAAGTTGCTTTCTATTGTGTTTCTTCAATATATACGACATACCTGCTTGTCGAAGTTTGCCTTCAACAGTAAATTCATTTGCATCATTTATTGATTTAACACGTTTTTTCCATTCATTTTCACCGTATGTTTTTAATTGTTCGAGTCTTAAAAAAACAGCAATATTACTTTACATATTCAATACAATGTTTATTAAATTACATACCTTTTGCTCACCGGTATCATATTTTCTACTTCTTCCGGACTCAGCATAGTTGTATCATCTAAACAAATAGAAATCTCCAAACATAAGTAAAATCAAAAGAAAGACGAGAAAGCGACGATGGATAGATATATCGTGTATAAAGCGAAGGTGTTGACTAACGCCAAGATAAAACAAAAGCATAAATTGAAACATACCAATATTGTGCATAGATAAGTGTTTAACATGCTCTTCATCAAAACAATTTTCTTGTAAAACATTTGTTCGAAGGGTTGATTTTATTGGAAAAAAAATTTCTTCTAATGAAGAATTAATTGATAATGATAAAGAATTGTCATGCATTAGGGGTTTATCATTCACTATATAGGCATACAAAATGAAAGATATATGAATTTATTTTTTTTTCTATAAATACCAAGAGGTTTTGTTGTTAACTGTTTTGAACTTGATGTTGATGGTTCAGGAGATAGATTTTCAGCTGCTTGAACTTCTTCAGCAGTTATTGGCTAAAATAACAAATGTAAATAAAATTTCTATCAGTTCTATATGTTAAGTGTGAATAGACAGTTCTCTTTCTTTTTTTCTTTGAATCACATCTCCACCCACGCACAACTGTCTGTGATATTATATTAGTCATAGAAAAAAAAAATCTATCAAATGTGATGAATATACAAATTTTGCATCGATGAATAAAATACCTGAGTAAGTCGACTACGATTAGGTTTTAATGATGATGATGATGTTAATCCCATATTTTTCGTTTTATTAAAAAGAACCATTTTTTCTTTAAATGTTAATTTTGATGTATCATCACCGAATACATCAGTAGTATGTTCTACTGAAATATCATCAGTTTCTGATAGAATTATATCTTCTGGTTTAGATTGTTGTTGTTGTTTTTCAATATTATAGGTTTTTGCTAATAACGGAGATTTGATTTCGTTGGATACAAGGGAAGAACTATAATGAATTTTTTTTTGAATTTTAGGACAAAAAAAGGAAGAAATGAACTTTTATTACTTTTCTTGTTTAAATGATTTTGAACGTGTCAAATGAGGACTAGGTAGTACATCTTTTGAAAATACTTCAAATAAATTTTTTTTAGCAGCAACAGTCATTTTGTCATTAATTTCATTGTTTCTAAATTAAAAAAAAAAAGTTTCAAATATCTGTCAAAAGAAAGAAAACGCTATTGATTGGATGTTCAATTTCGTAGGGAAAATTTTAAGACTGATAATAAGCGACACCTAAATAATAATTAATTACATACTCATAAGAATTTTTTTGTTCAGAATTTTTATTATTTGGTTCGAATTGTTCCATGGATGTATATGTTCGTTTATTGTATTCAGTAGGTAGATCAACTGATTTTGTTTTAATTAAACGTTTGGTTTCTTTGGGACTTGTATTTGAAATTGATGTTTGATTATTCGATAAAGTATGATCACTTTTTGATGTTGTTAATGATCGATAATAATCTGATTGTTGTTGATCAAATGTATGAAATTTTTGAAATGAACGTTTATAATCTTCAACTTTATATCTACTATTACGTTTTCGAATAATTTCTGAAAGACTACGTTGTTTTTCAATAGGTAAATGTATTGAACGATTTGTTGTTGATGTTGAAGTATCATTGTTATCATCAAAATCATGTTGCATTTTTTCAATAGAAGATTTCAATGGACGAATCAATGAGGATGATGATGATGTTATTATTGTTTCATTTTGAAATTCATTTTCTATATCAAATGGATGAAGACATTGAAATGCATTAGGAACAATAGTATTGATGGATGATGTTGTTATTTTTTCATTTTCTAATGGAAAACTTTTTTGAATTTTAACTAAAGAGAAAAAAAAAATTATTTTCAAAGAAAATTTAAAAGACAAAAAAAAAGTCAAACTAAATAAATTTACCATCTCTAGGTTCGACAATCAGTAATTCTTGATTTGGTATAGGATGTTTTATATACTCTTCTTCATATGTAGGATTCCAATTTGTGTAAATTTTTGTTGACATGTCTATAGACAATAAAAAAAGAGAGAAAGGTCGAATAGCTATTATTTTTTTTTTTTTTTTGTTTTGTATTGTTAATAATGTAAAAGGAAAGAAGGAAAAAAGCTACAATGTCTATATGTCGGGTACTAATTTGTGTCCGGCATATGGATGTTTTATGATTGTATGTCGTCGTTGAGTGTACGTGACAAGAGAAAGAAAAAAAAAAGGAAAAAAACTGAGGGTCACCATTTGCAGACACACTCAAAGTAGTTAAATTAGTTGATGCTCTTGTGGATGAATTCATGTGCTAGTGATCAACAATGACATACTCGACATTGACGGCTTATTTTATTCTTTTCATAGGTGACAAATCTCACCAAAGAAAAACAGAAATAAGAGAAAAGAAAAGAATTCAAATTGTCTTACTTCTAATATCAGTTATTGGGTCTTTATTGATTTGAAGATCATCGATAGCATCGTGATATGTATCTTTAATCATTGGTGATGAATATATTTGATCAGGTTTCTGAAAGATTAAATCATATTGTTTTTTAGTTGATGTATTCGATGTTCGTGCATAAAATTGAGGTTCAGCAAGCGATGATCCAGATTTTTGTTCTTTCTGCATTATGTTTCGTCCTTCTTTTTTATTGTCTCTTGTTTTTGCAGATGATAATTGTTTAGAAGAACTTGATTCGACCAATATATTTGTTTGATCGACTGTAATCTCATTTTTACGTATAGAATTTGTAATTCCCGTACTTGTACCACTATTACCAATATCGTGGATAGATATTGCTCGTGTACAAATAGAACGATCTTTTCCTGGTGATGAAGAATCTATATCAAGAGAACGTATGTATACTAATGATAAAACAACAGTTGATGTCGCAATAGCTATGACAAAGTTGAAGAATAGAAAAAACAGAGAGAATGACAAGAAATTCTTTCGTCTATACATGATGGGATAACACCCGGGTAGAAGGGTAACGTATAACGCAAATAAATCAGTGCGAATATGCAAAAAAAAGAAGGAATAATTTTCTAGTAGAATCGTCAGAGAAACAATGTTGACGAAAACATGAGGAGAAAGAGTCTAATGGAATTTATGACCAAGCGTAATATAATTTGTGCCATCAACTAATAGGAAGAGAAATATAAGAAAAATTATTCATTCACACATGTGCTGCCAAACGTATATATATATATATACATATACATATACATATATATAAATTACAACGAATATTAATGCGCCATTTTCGTTATCTGTAGACTAGAAAATTCTATTGTTTTTCTTTTCCAAGGTTTTTCATCGTTTATTTTAGAAGACTATTGTGGTTAGCACTTCTTTATATAGTAATAGTCTGGTTATCGGTAATTTCTTGAGAGTGAAAAAAGAACAAATAGAAGGCTAAAGATAAAAATAAACTGTTTGTTTCATCGATCTGATTATTATGCTGCAAAGTTAAATTTATTTTCATTAGAAAAAATTTAGAGCTAATCAAAAAAAAAAAAAAAAACAAATCAATTAAATGAAAAAATAAATATCTTTCTAGTTCTTTATTTAGATCAAAGTACACTTGTTATTGAAGTGTTTAATAGATATGGTTATGTTGACACAGCCTAAAGTATTTTCTATTATGTTATCATTCTCATGTGGATAACAACAAAATAAAAAGAGTTTTATGAATATTTGAGATCTAGTTAATCATAATAATGAATAAGAATATTCATTATTTACTTTTTCTATTATTATATGAATATGATGTATTGATGTTTGTTATACTGACCAAATCGTAATATTTCAATCTATCTTTGTCTTTTCTTATTATTTTTTAGCTAATGATCTTCATATTTATGACATAGAATTACAACAATACATATGAAACTGCATAGAGATTTACATTCTCACTGTAAGAGTAAATATCATATGTATGACAGATTTAGATGAATATAAGACGATGGATCTCTTGTTGAGATAGCACTCAGGAATGAATGCCCTTTTTACAAAATGTTTGTGTAGGTGGTCTCAACTGCGCATGATATCTATCGATATATCCTCTAGTTAAATTCCACTATAAATAAATATAAAAAGAAGAAAGAAACTTACCAAACAATGATCTCTCTGATTTAATAACATTTTTTGAGTCAGTACAAAACCTAAATAAAAAAAAAAAACAGTAAAAAGAAAATAAAATCCGTCAGTTTCATATTAAGTATTTATTTATTCAATGATTTTTCTATTTGTTTTTCTTATTCTTAATTAAATAGAAATTTTTAATAAACAATAATATACAACTGTCATTAATATCGTATATTTCTTGTCGTATTTATGTATATAAATATATGAGACAAATGAATAAAATAAGAATGTTAAAGGATATGACAAATCTAAATTTATTCAGTTATAGAATGATATTGTTATATACATACCATGCTCCCATGATGAATCGATTGTAAATTTTTTACTGGAAAGTAAAATAAAGATTTGTTACTGTTTTACTTGTACGGACCGTTTCACTTTGAATTTATCTGCTTTATTTAATCGAAGTAGATACGAGGGTATATAGATGCACATATGCTCCTTGGCCTATCATTTAATTGAATATAGGCAGTCAACAAAAGAGAAAAAAAAACAATTATCGTGACTATATTCGTATGCTATTGATGCTATGTAATAAATGTGCAAAAAATATCAAGTCAAGAAGATACAAAGAAAGCAATAATATCATGAGAGAACTAAACAGAAAATAGAAGAGAAAATATGAACAATGTATACTATCAATAGTTCTATTCTTTTCTTGATTATATAAACTTGGTTGCATATAATGATGGGTGATGAAGGATAGAAATGACGAAGTAGCGAGCACCAACAACATATATGCATATATTACTATGTATATGATATAGTTTTTTTTTTGATAAACGCGATGCATTAATATCTCCATCATGAAAACGACCATGGTAGGTGAAGGAGTCGTGCACGAACATCATTTACATACATACATTAAACATCTTTTTTTCTCTTCTCTCTATTTCTTCTTTCTATTATCAGTTTATTTGTATATTATTTCTCATTTAGGAATATTTCTCGTTTGTATCATAGATTAAAATGACTTGTTGAGCTTTCTTTCTTCACTTTAATTTCATTGATGAAGTTATATAATTGTGAATATTAAGAACTATACGATGATGAGATGTATTGGCAACTTTTTTATAATAATCTAGCAGTAATTATCACATTGCAACGATGTCAAACTGAGATAAATATACATATAGTCCTAGTATTCATACATATGTAAGTAAAAAAAAATTTCTGTGTTAACTTTTTTGAAAACTTTTCGTTAGACAATAAAAGTCTAAAATACCAAGTAATCTCGTATAATAAGAGAAGTAATGAGTCTCTTATTATAAGTCAATATCGATTCTATTAATATAGAAATAATATGCGAGATTTTATTCTATTTCATTTATGTCAATATCATTATGCATGTATATATGCATACAAAGCAATCAACAAAGACTCGGGCATCATACTTTGACAAAGTTCTCTATTCTTATGTGATGAGCAGATGTGTATACTGATGGATAATAGAACAACAACATATATCACAAAAAAATCGACCTAAACATTATTTTTTTCTTCATAATAGCTATCAACAATTCTAGTGATAGACTGTTGATTTTGTATTGTTATTTTTGACTCTATTAATAGTTTGGTTAGGAATGCACCGAATCCTCCGCATCCGCCACAACGATTATGACATTTTGATACGACAACTTTCCGAATTCGGGTTCTTTTTTTGTCTAACTTAACAAGAGCTAGTGTCAGTATCGGGTACAGCAAATAATACTGGTTATAATTGACCCGAAGATTTAGTAGGAGAGCGGGGGGGGGGGGGGGGGGGGGGGGGGGGGGTGTACGGAAAAACAAATTAATCTAGATGGGGGCGGCATGGGTTTCGGGGCA